TTCTTACGTCCGCCCGGTGGACGCCGGTTTGAACAATGTAGCCCGGGTGTCGGGGTTCGTTAGGTCGCCGTTTAAAAACTCGGTCCACATTTCTCGCGGAATTCCCGCCACGACGTGCCATGCAAATCCCCACTCAATTCGCGGGAACACGAGGAAACTCTTAAAGCCTTTTATGGTATGGCTTCTCTAAGACTGAATTCGTGGCCTGAAAGTCGGAGTGCCACTATATTCCCGGCCGTGGGTGTTACGAGCCGACTTTTCGCGGTTTTACGTGTACATACCGGCTGACGGGGACGGCTCTCTGTCTACGTGCGCGTACGCGTGTGTGCGGACGGCCGTGCGTGCGTACCATCGGAGCTTTTTAACCCCTCTCTAAGAGACCGGCTACAACTCGCGCGGACTGATTTATGTTTACGGTAAGAGCCCCGCGAGATATGCTCGGATCCCGCGATCGTTTGACACGAAGCTTGGACTGGTTGTTTGGTATCTCGAATCTTCTGGTGTTACTTCGATCGGTAATCGATGGGAATCGGTTTGTTCCCGTGGAACATTCGTCTGAATAGTTTGTTGGATTCCTTTTCTTCTCGAGTTTTTGCGGTTGAACCGCTGTAAGAGAATATTACGATAGTTTCGTCGTTCACCTCGGAGAGCAACTCTTCTCTATCGGAATTCTCATGGTAAATCCTTCGTAATATTTATGCGGGAGAGAAGGTGTGCTGTATAGAATGAAAAAACTGAGCTAAGGAAAACACATGAATCCTAGATGTAGGTCAAAAGTGACACGAAGTGTGACTAGGTGGGGGTTCAATATTCATATCGACGCGTATGTATCCCCCGAGCTAGAAAATGTGTACCCGGGCATCTAATAAGATTGATACTGTTTCGGCTACGTCCACCCTCATTTTTGTCCAGGGAATTAGAGTCACCGCGACGTTGTTTGGCCGAACGGGCGAGCGGCGTCATATTTCACGCACGAGCGAAACTTGAGAATCGTAATTGAACGCGGGAGCGGCGGTGACCCCGTCGGAAAATTCGTTCGGACGCATCCGACGTCAAGGAGAGCGCGGGCATTAGGGAAAAAGTTATTCTTATTATTGAGGTGGGTCACACGTGTATATTATTGCCAAGAAGTTGCCCACTCCGTTCCACGGCGACGAGCCAGCCAGAACGTGAAACTTTTCCGATACTTTCTTAACGACGACCTCGCGTCGCTCTCATAAGTCGGCCGAATGCATTCTCGAGACACTGCCGCTCTCTCCTTTCTGACAATTGCCCCCACCGCCAGCGAAATGTATCTTTATAAAGTTCCACGGAATAGATTGAACCGGATTGAAACAGTACTGGAAAATAGCACCTGCATAGTATCAGCTTTACACCGTGTCTGACCAATGGCCGTCTTGTTTCACTGCACGAAACAGACTCGATCGCGAAGAATCAGTTTTAATCTCTTACATACATTACCCTTTAGATTTTTCTTTAGAATAATATTCTTAATTAAGTCTGGTCATGAACGGTTCTATTCTACTCGAGTCCAACAAGAACTACTCTAGCTGTCTAAGACAATAAGGCTGCTCAGCGCGCTAAGAGGTCATTCCAGGATTTTACAAGCCCGACACTTCTTACTTACACTTTTAGTGGCATTCGCTGGAATCATTGTAGTGTTATATGGCCCCATAACCGCGAGTACTCGAGCATTTTGTAAGTAGCGGAACATTGTCCCGTAGAGGAGATACCGGGATTCGTCAAATGGTCGCCTCCGCGAGAGACGCTTCCTAAGGAAATATAACAATGGTAGTTAAGAAGCTATCAGGCCAGCTTTTTCATAAAGGAGGGCATAGTCCGTTTTTATAAATCCTAACGTTTTACGTCGTGGAAGAAGGTACGGTAATGTCAAGCAGCCCGGCGTATAGTCAGCAGCCGCCGGCGTCCACGTGAAACTTTTTATATTGTACAAGACTGTCATATTATCGGCCGTTAATGCCACGTGTTATAAGTTATAGCTGGAATAGTGCCCTATGGTTCGGTGCTCCACGTTTATAGGTCCTTATGGAAGTGTTCTATTAAAAGGGTGGATGCTGTTCTTAATACGCGAAACGAACAATGGGAGGTAGGCCATGTTGATCGTAAACGGCGCGCCATAAAACATCCCATTTGCGATACAATCGCCCCGTTCTTGGATGCGCGATTAATATTGCTTTCTGGCGAAAATTGATGTAACCTGCCAACGGAACTTGTATATCTTCGGCCCTTTGTGGTCTGGAATGTCCTTGCCTTTCCACTCTGTAGCTTCCATCCGCGTCGTTTAATTCGATTCCAGTTTAATATGACATTCTAATTTATTCATGAACACTGAAACCACCGAAGTGATAGTTTTATATGAGATAATCGTTATAAGTATGTCGTACAGAAGTTCCACTTCAGTGCTTCCCGAATTGTGATACTATAAATATGATAAACCTTGTTAAAATAAATAACTATTCGAATAAAATTCACTGTTGAGTTTTCCTTGACAAAATTGCAAAGTAACCCTTTGTGGACGAAAATTCTTCGATGCAAAACCGTCAATATATAAAGCTAAATTACATATCGATTGCTTAATTAATAGAAGAGGAAACTACTGATCTCTTGCTGTTCGACTAATTAAATCGTTTATTCGCGAGTTAGTCTTCCAAATATGAATATTTCTTATCGAAATGCCGATGTTCGTCCGCGAAGGGATAATATTTTCGTCGCGACGAATATGTCTCCATATTTCTATTACACGGAACCCTGTCGCTAGCAGGCGCGAAGTCGGACCCATCCACCGATCCCAATTAGGGCCAGCTAATTTCAATCTCCCCAATGCTGCGTTTCAAGTGCGATCTTCGTTAACCCGACTCGCCGCCAAGTTTTCCGATTCACTTACGGTTTGACGAGTCTCTCCCGTCCCGGCGCAGATTGCACGCTCGCGAAGGAGGGGCCGAAGAAGGGGCCGACAAAACAAAACATCGTAAAGCACCCTCGTCTGTAGAGGATGCGACCTGCTAGCCGCTATTGAGGCGCAAGTGAGAAAAGTGGCTACAAGAGGTGCCCGGCGATGCATAAGGGCACGTTTCCAGAGGACGGTTTATCCCTCGCCGCATCCCGGGCGCATTGAAGTTTAACGCGGCGCTTAGAACCGAGGCATGTTACCTGGGAATGATTGATCGCGTTCGGGCTGTAATTACTTGCCGGGATGTCTAATTCTTTCATCGTCGCCGCCTCGACTGCCAAGAAACTTCGTTCCCCAGAACTTACTCCCATCGCGAGATTATTCCAACTCCGCATCATCGAATGAAGTTCTTTTCGATCAACTATTACAAGATTTTAATGGCTCATTGTACATATTCATAGCCTCTCGAGATCTGCAAGAGGAATGGAAGAAAAATGTCAAAACTTCAGTTTCTTTTATATTGCCTTTAAGAATCTACCGAAACTATTCGCAGAAAGTAAAATTGTATTTCATTAGTTTCACGATTTCTTGACTATAAATGTATCAATCTGGATAAAAATCCGCGGTGTAATGGTTGCGGAGTCGCCGAGTTCGGTGATGTTAGAGGAAGGAGACGTTAAGAAGGCGTGGCCTAGAATTCAGCTAGCCCTTCTGTTCCCGGTGGCGATTTCCGAGCGAAATTTCATAGTCCAGGGAACAGCGAGTGATCTTAAGGCGGTCGATCGGCTCGGATCGTATCCCCGAGCATCAATCAGCTGTCTCCGTAATCAAGGGAGCGCTACTCACCGCGAGGACGTCTCCATGGGAATTTCGAGAGGTATCCGCCACTCAATTATCTGATCCCGTACACACTCAAGATGTTATTGATCCGGAGATACTCCGAGCCAGCTTATGGCCGCCGGCGGTAGAACGGATCGAACTAGAAGAATTCTTTGCGTCGATAAACGCGAAATTTCGAATCGTTAGATACTGTTCGAACGATACAGAATTTAAGTCGCGAAGGGAGCGATCCATAAATCGCAAGATTCATCGGCCAACAACCGATATTCACCGGCAAATCAATTCGCTTGAAATTCAACAATTTTTAGCGGCGGATAAAACAAGAGCCGGGGACCGTAAACACGTCTGCCGGCGTCGAAACGCGAATAATCGGTATTCGATATCGAGCGGACAATTCGATTTCATTCGACCTCGAACGACTCCGATCGGCCACTGTGAATACTTAATGAGCTAGCGTTGTTTGATGTCAAAGCGATATCTGGTTGCAACGGTGCAGGGGCGGCGCGCACGGCGCGGCATTTTTCGATAAATCACGCGGCGACCGATATAAACAACCGTTCAGTTTTTAATAATGTTTAAATATCTGTAAATTGGCGGCGGACGCGGCCGCGTTATTGCTCGCGTGCACAAAACGACTGCGCGGAAAGCTAGTTTCGTTAATCTGTCGTTTCGCCCCCGAACTTTACGGGAACGTTCCCGATGAAATCATGGGAAATTCGGTGTGACAGCTCCGCGGAAATCTGATGTCGCTTCCATTTATTCCCCTTCCGATTGGGTCCGACAATTCCACCGCCAGGATATTTTACAATGGAAATAAATGAATTATAATATCGTAATGCGACGTACTCGCCGACTCTGTGTGCGTGCGTTGAAACGTCTGTCATTTGCGGGACGCGCTCGCCGGCCGCGTTACATCGAATTACGGCCGAATGAAATTTGCAACTGTCTTTCGCTGTCCCTCGGATCATTACGCCCGACTGTCATGAATTTTTACGCGGCGTTACTAAGTTACACGCGATTAACACAGTTCGTCGGCATTAGATATCGATTAGACCATCAAGTCATTAGACGGCGATTAGACCGGCGACTTACCTAGATTATTAGATAGCCATTAGAGTAGCGATCCAGATTATTAGATCGGGATTATACCAGCGATTCAGTCTATTAAATAGCAATTAGACTTCATAATGGTGCAGGGAATCTGGTCGAAAACATAGGGAATACTATGATATAATCGATTTGATTCCAGATGCTTCAGTGATGGAGGGCGAGGGCACGCTGGGCCGCAGCCACGGGAACGGGGGCCGTGGACTGCGCCGTCAACGGTCCCTGGAATGGCGAGAGAGGCGCGGTTACGGGGCCAGTGCCCAATCGAGCAGCGACGACGAAGAGAACTCCCGTCACGCCGTCACGGCCGCCGCCGCTTCGTCCGCTGCTAGAGGCGCCCGGAGTCCAGGCCAGGTTCTCGCTTCTCTCCTGGCGCAGCAGTATGGAAGTGAGTGATGATATAATTGATGTTTGATACTTTGATCGAGAGCCTGCTACCTTGCGCTAGACGTACAGGAAAAAGTTCCGCGGACGCCGGTGTAGCCGCGGCGAACTCCCGATGGATCCAATCATGTTTGAGAAACGAATAGCGTTTTGATAGGAGCTGCGAGAACGCGTCTGGCTGGTTAAAATAATAATCGAAGTATACGGAGTCGTGTGCTCACGCTTTGCAACATCTACCGATACGTAGCAACGACCGCTTCGAAAGTGAACTTAATAGAATTCCTCGTTTCTTAAGCGAATTATCAGTTCGCTCGAAAGTAGTAACGAAAGAACTCACGGGACAAAGGTTATTCGCGACGTCGATGGTAAAAACCCGACGAAAATTGTTAACTTGATTTTCCACGAGCGTGAAGAACCTCGTCGAACCTACCTCGGCCGAGCGACGACTGTAATTAATCTAACGATTCGATTTCTGAGCCCTGATTGGATGGTCCTTCGCCGGGCCATTCTTAAACCCCGATGGAAATAGCGTTTAACGAGCGGGTTAACGAGGAACCGGCGAAATACCGAATTACAGCAACCCAGCGCGAGTAGCTGCGGCGCAAGACAAACGAGAGGAACACGCGTCGATCGCGAGCCTCTTTTTCCCTGTTTCGTTCCGGTTCGATCTCCCGGCGCCAATAATAAAGTTCAGGGTGGCTCGTTCATCATATTCCATCAATAGGTCTCGGCGATCTCTCGCCCATTCAGTTCGCTTCCCTTAATCTCCCTTCGACTTCCACCCCCTCGGTCTTTTCGCCACCCCCGCCCGGCGCGGGAAACGCGTAGATTAAAGGATTTACGAAATTAGTTTTACTTGCCCGCGTCGTCTGGCATCGCAGCCGGATATTAAGATCGTCGCCGGCATCCAGGTAGCGCGGAGGCGGTCCTCGCGAGCCGTCGCGAGTAAACAAAGCCTTAAAAATAATATTTTCGCGAACGCGACACCGGCTGTTCCGCGAATAATCGGCTTCCTCCTCGGTCGCCTCGTTCGCGATTCGTTTCGCCGGTCTCTCTCGCTCTCCTCGGTGCGCCCTGCGAACCGAGCCGTCCGCCCGCTCGCCCCGTTATGTATCGATTACGCGACTCGTTCGCGGCTAGCCGTATAAATATCGCGCGCCGCGTAACTGCATTATCATTGCCGGCTTATTTGGATTGCTACTTACGCAAATAATAGTTTAATATCGCGCGTCCCGGTCTCGTGACCATTATTTGACCTCGGATATGCTCGGTGATCCTGATTAAATCTACAATTTCCTGTCCTTCGTTGCGAGATTGCCGTGTTTCCGGGCGCGATCGGGATTACCGGGAAATCGGCGGTGCCGCCGGGGAACGGAGGCGCACGCGGAGAAAGAGTCACGTATCCGTGCATCGTTACGCACATATTGAGAGCCGCGGAATACGCGGCCGCGTGCGAAGAAAGTTTAATTTCGATCGCGACGCTCCGTTGATCGTAATGGCTTGGAATCTGCTCGCGCGCGTTCGTGCAGGACGAGAATAAATATTGAAAAGGCGTCTCCTCTTGCGTCTTTCCGTCTACATTTTCTATATTTTCGTTTCCCCTTCGATCGACTCGGTTATATCGAGGAAACGCCGTAATCGATCGACGCCCGGCCGTGAATGGAAGAGGCTCCCAGACGGCCATCGGCGAGCCGAGTCGTTTCGCAACCGGCGCATCGTCTCTTTCGATACACTCGAAGTGCGGTTACGTGACACTGTGGCCGCGGCGAATCGAGTCTAGTCTGGTCGAGTCTAGTCGAGTCGAGTCGAGTCGAGTCGAATCGAGCAACTGATCGCCGGGGGAAAGGGAAAAGGATGGGATGGAGAGGAAATGGGAGAATAGGGATGAAAATGGGGAACGACGATGTGGGGTCGAGGGTGAGTCGGGCGGATCCAGGCCTGGAGGGAGCGGTAATCGGCAGCAAGTGAATTGGAACAAATGCAGACAGACGTGAGGTGGGCTGCTGGCTCGCTTGATACCGCAACCAAGAAATATAGTATAAACCGTGCACCGGTATTAATTGAGTTCGCCCCCTTCCGTCGATGTAACGTGGCCCCCTCTGTGCGCCCGTCATTTTCCTCGTCTATTTTTGTCCGGCTTCGAGGAGTATCGACGAAACGTTCTTAGAAACGAGAAGCCAAGTCGAAGATCGGGCTTTAAGCACGATTCCATTGTCAGTTTCAAAAAGGTTCAGCCCCCTGTACCAAAGTAGTTCAAAGCTTCTGCGATAAAATGAATCTTTCCTTTCACTTTGGTAAACTTAAACGCAGGAATCTCATCAATTTGATGCGACATAAAGTATAAGCAAGACTCCGATAGCAATGAATACCGAACTCCATTAACTTCGCTCTAAACCCAGCGAAGTTGCCCGTTAAACCGACAATTAACCGGTAGCCACTCGCGCGAGCATCTCGTGCGACCGTCCAATTTTCTAAAACAGTTCCTCCCGTCGCGTCGCGGGGGCGCATCGCTGTCCCGTAACGCGTGCCCTCCTCGCAACAGCCGTGAACCCATCGCCAATCGATACGTCTCGCACGAAACCGTTCCTAGCCAATCCTAGGAACGCCGGTTGCTGCGGGATTGCAGACTCGCCGGGCCGCCTTAAAATCGCGCGGTTAATTAACCCCTACCACGCGTGTCTGGCTGCGCGCGGTGGCGGCGATAATTGATGAGAGCTGGATGGATCGGTCGCTCCGGCCGATCGATTCGGTTTCCGAGAGAGAGCGCGCCGCGAAACGAACGGGAATCCGTTCCGTAAGAGGGGTTTCATTCAGGCAGGTCCTTTCTGTCGGCTCTTTCACGGTTGGTTCATCCGGAACGGTGTCCAGCCCTCGTGGATTATGTTGCGTTAATGGCCACGTCGATTCAGGGGCTGTCTTCCGTGCCGGTTCTCCCCGGCGAAAAATAATCCGGGGGACATTTTATTAGGTATCGCCGTTACTCGCGGAGGTCTAAGTGGCGGATCGCGTTACCCTCGATTGGCACCGCCGTTGAAGCAAAAGGCGCGTTCGGAAGAGCCTCCACCCGTCACCGGCTCGCTTCGCCGGCTTTTACGCCGAGGAATACGTTTTACGGTGTCCATGGGGCTGGACGGTGGCCACGGTGAACCTTTAATAACGCCGTGTCAGCGTACGCGTCGCGACGTTACGGTAGATCGGCCGCGTGGCCGCGTCAATATAGATGGCGCCTCTTAATCTCCGTCCGCACAGTCATCAATATATTGACGTCCATCCGAGTACGAGCGAGACAGAGAGAGAGAGAGAGAGAGAGAGAAAGGGCTGTCCTGTCTCCAGGATCGTCGTTCACTTTGGACATTACATTGTCAGCTCATTACGTCGGGAACGGTTTGCCGCGTCACGCATCGGCCGTCTCCGTATGGAAAATATTGACCCCGCCGCGGCGCGCCGATAACGCGCCCGATAATCTATAGCTTCCCGCGGCATGGTAAGTGTTGATTTTCCGCGTGCTGTTCGCACACGCGCCGCCGACTATTAATTTCACGCGGCCAGATATCGCTACAATGGCGAATCGCGCGTTGAACTTCGCGCGTTAATTACCGGCCTCTCCACTGCGCGGCTGTCTGTTCGAGGAAAAGTTGATTAGTGTACGTCAAGGGTTTGTAGGCGTGGAATAACACGACGGAAGCTGCTGGGAATCGTAATCTTTTTACTCGGTGATCAGTGTTCCTCTTCGCTGAGATTATCTTACATCAGATGGACGAAAAGCGTAGATTTACTTTTGATTCGTTGACGAGATCGTTGTTCCCGAAATGTTCAGATTGAAACGATCAAAATTCTTTCGGCCGTCGAGTTCGGTGTACACTGCGGAACGCTGGTACATATGTAGCGATCGGGTATTGTATAAAGTTAGCGACTATCGTGCATTTGACGCGAGTTGCCGAAGAATCGCGCAACAGAAAAATCCGATGAAATTCACCGCGGTATTACATACCTGCGCCCGATCTGAAACAGTTGATAAAGCGAATCGAATTCGACGCGATTTGAATATCTTCGAATTTACCCGCGAGTGCGTAAACTCGTGAAAACTTCCGCCGTCTAGTCGTCATACTTCGCGCGTTTATCTTGCCGAAGTTCCGGCCCGACTAGTTCGCGGAAGTTTAGAAACACCGCGGTTTATTCGAAACAGAAGCGCGCCGCGCCGGTAGAAACGTTCGAAATTTCAACAACTATTTATTCGTGAATTGGCCCGGGAATCCTTTTGCCGCGTGCCGCCGCTTTCACGCGTAAAAATAATAGAATCCGGGAGATTATGTAAAATAATGAAGCCCAGGTTCCGAGCCGGTTCGGTTCGACGTGGTCCAGAAACACTCGAGCGGCCGCGAGTCAAGACAGTCGCCGAACTCGAGATTTCCATCCGAGTATGTTCGACTTATGACGCATTACGGACCCCCGCGGGCCGGTGCTTTCTTCCGGATCTCGGGAGGGAGAAAGCGATGTTAAGCCGAGAATAAATTTTTAATGGGCCGCCGGAGCTTCCGGCTTTATGAAATACTGCCGCGATACATGCGAATGATCGAGACGAAGAATTAAAACCCGCGCGGACTTTTTCCAGGCGGTAACGAAACGGCACGCTATCGATCCGCGGGGATGCGGTGAACGCGGAAAACTCGAAAATCCCGTGGAAACGTTGCACACCGACGGCGCGCCGCGTATTCTTCGAATATCATCAACCGTAATCTAATGCGCCCGATGCGGTCAGCTACGATTTCCACGGTTTTTCGGGTCGAATAACGACACGGAAACATGAAACTACGTTCCACGTTTCCGGAAACCGTTCAGAAATACCCAATTCCACGGTACGTAAGTGTGTGATTCGATAAACGAGAAGAAACGGCGCTTAACGGTTCGAATGGTTCCAGGGGACCGAGATCCGCGCGAGACAACGCGATAAATTATTCCGGAAACAATTCACCATGGATCTTCGTAACCGGGATAATTGTGTAA